TCGATGGCAACTGGGATCGTATTGTTTAGTGGTAGCGGGCTGTGAGTATTTACATCGCCGGCCTGAACCTGATTACCTTCTCAATCAAATGACAGTTAATTTTATTGTATAAAATTGTTACAACCTTGCAGTGGCAGAAGAAACTTTGAATCCTTGACTTAGTTATTAGAAAATGCTTGCGTATTATTCAATTCCATTTAGATATAGTGGACTAACTATTCTTGTACAAAAGCAGGTAATCTGCATATTTCTTCTATCTCCTTTACGAATTAGAACTATTTCACACATGTATATTTACATATTCAGTTCTGCATAGCTTCTGTGACAGATATAATCGAGTAATCGTTAGCATACCTGGTTTTAGTAAAATTTAAATCAATGCACGTAATTATTGCCTTGATATGTAAATGCTGCAGTCATTCTTTGTATAGAAAACCCAGGGTTCATGAGCTACTAAAAATCGTATATTTGATGCCCAAGTACTTACCTATGCGTAAGTGCAATAAAAGATACAGGTAAACCCACCCTAAATTTACAAGGTGTATTACGAAGTGCAAGCCTTAACTATTCACCAAATTCGCTTCAACGTAAATAAAATATAAAAGATATAAGGAAGTAAATTAAAAAACAATTAAATTCAGCATCTTTGTTGTGCTTTTCCTATTGGGAAAATCTGTCGTAAGTTGATCAAAGAGTCAGTTGTCCATATATTTATCCTTAGTAAGAGTCTGTTCCGAATCAGCCGATTGTAAAGATGAATATTCCAAAATCCTTACAATTTCACGAGAACTTCGCTACTTCCGTGCATTTCTATTTCCCTATAAGTAATACTTCAACACAATATGCTACTTACGTATTGGCAATATAATGTAATGCGAACGCATGAAAAGAAAAACAGTGTTCGTCATTTGACAGTTAGCTTCTCACTTTTTATATTTGCATTCGTTCGTAATATCTGTTTCTTTCTACGTCTTAAAAAATACCAAAAGGTGTGCACTTTGTTGTTACTAAAAGGCTCGAGCATATAATGAACTTATGAACTTTACAACTTAAAAGTCTCTGTGGACTGAATCAGTCATAACAATGTGTATAGTTATTTCATTCTCTCGATTGACCAAACATCGACCATTTGTCCAGCGGTCCAACTGGTAGCGAACTTAGTCATGTCAGTTTCGGCGACTTTAGCTCTGAGGCAATCGGCCTCATAGTACACCACTATTAACGCTATCAGTAATATGTTGCTCTGTCGATTCCCCTGTATAAGCTCAAAATAATCTTATATTTTGTTAAAATTAACTTTGTAAAAGCAGGTATAAATTCTTAAAAAGTAAGCACTGTTTCTATATACCTTGCAATATAGAATTTTGTTTATTGATAGGTTATTCTACTATAAATCGCAGATATTCTTGCTTGAATTGACAATTATTTTTCCGAAATCATGATCCTTATCAGTCGCTAAGTAAACTGCTTTCAAATCTTCTTGAGATTCCAATATAATCATTATGCAGGGGAAAAGCTTTGTTAACAGATTGCGACAAATGAATAGTTCTTTGCTTCTGGGACGGTTGTTTCCTTGATCGACTGGCTCAGTTGCAGCATTATCTTTTCAAACTGCACTTTGATTGATTAAACCCTTGGTACAAGTAAGGAATATCAATAAAGACGAAATAACATAAACCGAGGATGCTTAAAATCGGTTAGCCCACATAAGATCTTATAAAATAAATTCATACATAGAATTTGTTAGGAAGTCGTTATAGCTAAAGTAGATCTCCGATCAGAGAGTTAGCATGTAATATTATATTTATGAGCTTGTGTCTGATTTCTTCAAGGCCTTAGATGACAAGTAGGAAATATCAGAACATTGCCTGAAATTAATACCTTATGACATAGCTTTATTAATACTATTTACCGTTTATGTTGTGTGTAGAATACGAAGTGTAGCACTTTTTGGATAAATAATTCGCGTAGCATTGTGTCGTATAATAGACGTACTGGAGAACCTCTAGCAATATGAGTCGCGTCAGTCTTTTGCTGAAGTATATTGCTGTGTCCTAGTATCTGTGCTACTGCCATTCGTACCAAGACGGTGATACATTTACTCTACTGCATTTCCATTATTTTTAAGATAAGTAAATATAAGAATAGCGTGCGTATTTGTTGAAAAATACGGCTTCTCTTCGTCTATTACCACGTCAGAATTAATAGAATTGCCAGCGTTAAGGATGTCATCAGTTTAATGACTATGAGAAACGCATATTTTAGGCGATCTTTATTTTTACAGATTTTAGGATAGGAAATCCTTTTATATAAAAATTGCGACATTAGTAATAATCGTACCTCACATTCAATGAACTGCTTTCAGATAGAGTATTTAAATAGGTTTAGCGGACAGATTTTATAGCTCTGTTTGCACGCATTAGAACTAAGTGAACTCAAACTGTAAGAAAGACTTAATAATCATGTCATGCTTTTAGGACTTTTGATCATATGTTGATGTATTCGAGCAGTGGTGGATATCTAAAGCGCAATGTTCAAATTGGTGATATAAGCAGGGATATAGATTGACCACAATATATGTGACCTACAGCTATATTATATACAGTTCAATGGACCCAATTAAAAACATTTGTACACAAAATGTGAATCATTTTACGATACAAATGATCAATCAATACCTTTTGTACATTTGTTCAGTACTGTAACGTTTTCATGACATGATAAGAGACATACAAGATACAAAAGACAAGTAATTTTATAAACATTATGAACTAGGTCATTTGTTTTGAGTACCAGGCATGATAAACGCTTAAACGAAGTTTTATTAGCTAACAAAAAAGGTGAAAAATAATCGACGATAACTATGCTCAAAACAACTTATTTTTACTCATTAAGTTAACATCCATAGAAACAGACTGCATAAAACGTAGTTTATATGACGTTGTCATGATTTATGTGATTAGAGTAATCAAGTATATTGAACGGAATACATAGAGTGACCGTAGTTAAAAATTTTGATTAAACGACGATATTTTTTATATTATATGTTTCATGACGAATCGCATACAATACGCTTCGTTTTAATACACTAGCTAGGACGAAGAGATACATTTTTGCCCTCGCTGACGGAAAACTCATGTACTTAACTCTTCATTGCCATGATGTCTATATATCTACAACAATATATTATCATATACTTCTCTGCCTTTCAGAAAATGTGTGCGTTATGTACATAATCGTTGTTGTTTCGCAATGTTTTTATGTTAAAATACAATTAGTGCTGAACACGAAGTTATCTGTAGCAAATACTACCAAATGTTTAGTCCTCCTGATACTACTGAGTACTACTGCCTAAAAAAAGAAATTTAAAAAAATCGCCCCAACGAGAAACCTTAGATTTATTGATTTCAACGGAAATTTCTGTATTACCTATGCCGCTCTAGTGTCCTCGAAGTTTTCCTAGTTTGTGTTCCTAATTTCCAAATTTTTCCTGTTACTACTGAGTACTAAAATGCATAAAAATAAAGAGAAACCTCTAAATGTTTTAATTTTTCAAAATATGTATTACACAATTAAAACGCGTAAATAGGTTCACGCGTTTTAATGAAGTCTTGGCAAGGTCGAATTCTCAAGCTACGACGTAACAGGAATTTTAAAATATCTCTTGGTTATTAAGGTAATCTAAAGATATTATTTTGCGGAGCCTTTTTGCGTGTTGATGCTTTCAAAATTCGATCCGGAAGCGAATTATGCAAAAGCGTGAGTGTTTTTAGTTTACCGTTTACCATGTAGCCTCATTAGACCTCGCTAGTGGTTGAACAGTTCTAGAGATTTTCTACTATGTTCACGTGTCTAATTCTTTATCGCCAACCAGGAACGGCATTGAGGGCTGCCCAAAGTATATTATTAAAATCTTCCCGACTTAAATGAACCGGGAGCCAAAGGAAGACGCCTTTTTATTAAACTTTACATGAACTTCTCTGTTCTAGCAAATCGTTCTGCCCCTCTCGCTAAAGAGGAGACATGCTTATGAAGAATAAACATTTCTTAATAATTCGTTGTGGTAGCTTCAACGTTGAAAACTTTCAGACGTTGCAAAAAACTCTGTTTTTGACGTTTCCGTCACTACAACCCAAGACACGACGGAGCAGAAACATTATATAAGCAGATGACATTTCCACTCCCGTACATTGTGCATCCTAAATCTGGCTATTATATTGTACACGTAGAAAATCTCGACAAGAAGAAATCTGTTCTCGATAGAAGCCCATCAAGGCGAAGCAGGTTTGGCCGCGTAGTAGGCACTAGGTGAGAACGATTCAAGCCGTTGTCTAATTGACTCGACTTTGTCTAATTTTAACTTAAACCTTAATTTGTCATTTTTACTGAAACATTTACATTGGAAATTCAAGTGTGCTTATAAGTATCCGGAAAAAGACTGCAATGTTAATAGGATTATTGTAATGTGTTGTTTTCTAGCAGCTCCGTATTTAGAAAGGACTGAAAAACGGCCATTGCTAATTAAGCATTATGTAATGTAGGAACTGAAAAAAACATGGATTTATAAGGTTTCATAAATCAATTTTGTCCATTTCAATTTTTTTTATCTCGATATTTTTCCTTGCCTTCTTCTTCTTTCTTCTTTCTTTTTAAAAATTGTTGTTTATTGTAAACCTTATTTCGTATCTCTATTACGTACAGTGGTTAACTGCAATTAAAGTTAATATAACCCATCGATTACGCCAGATTCTGTAACTTCAGCAACAGCATACATTATGCAGTAGTTCATCTGCTTTGTCCTCTGTTTACTCCTCTGATAAAGCAGCAAAACAAAAGCGCAGTACAGAATAAAAAAGATGCACAGAAAAAAGTTACTATGGGTGGTTAGATCAGGCATTTAGGCAACATGAGTTAAAATAATATATGCATTAATGCTAAACTATTGAAAGACATTACGTTTAATTTAATATCAATATGCTTCATACTGCTGTTTCTTTCAGTGGTGTCACCGGTTATTGTTGTGCGCATACTGACGGATATTTCCCACATCCTACTTTCAGCCCGGCATCTGGTGTCTGGACAACAAAGCAGTCCACTGATCTTTGGATTACAGACCTGTTCTATAGCAGTAGGCAAATGAGGGAATCGTCAAGCGCATTGGGAGCCCGTAGCGCTAATAGTAGGCTCCATATATAACGAATTGGGCTTCGAAGGGCTACATCTGGGTGACGACCTATCTGGCGAGTCCTGGGCTCACACAAGTACCCAATTAAGTGCCTACATATGAAAAACTGACGTATGTTCCCAGGTTTAATTGTGCTTTCCTGTTTGTATCGAGACATACACCTGAATTCAACATGAAGACTGACGACTTTTTAGCTGAGGAACGGCTCCTCAATGGCCGACGAACTCTCGGTTTCGAGCACACGCTGGTTAGTATACTTTTGAAATAATCAAATAAAATAGTAAGATCTTTCGTGATTTACTAATAGTATCCGCCACATGTGCCATTTTGCTAAGTGGGAAATATTGAGAAGTAAAAAAATACTCAGCACATATGCATCATGTTGTCAGAAATTGTGTTAAATGGGCATAGGACGATTAAGAAGATCTTTAACTAAGCGCCCTTCGTTGATATTATGGCATACCCCTAAAACGTCAGGGCGGTAAAAGTTGGGGAGTTGCAACGCGGAGCTTCACAATGTTACTACAGCACATTAATAGGTTGCCGTAATATCAGCAAATTGCGCACAAATAAAAATTTCCTAATACTATCAAGGCGCCTTATATACCATTCGATGGTAGTTGATATATTAAGGTGCAAACCAGTGTAACTTGAAACGCTTTTGAAGGCAAAAATATTAAATGCAAAAGACAATAGTAATTATACGATATTTAGCTATCAAGCTATGTTAGAGAAAGATTGGTTAAAATCCTCATATGTATGTACCCCGACCCCCGGGGTTGTTTATTATTTTGCAGCTTTAAGCAACTTACATACGACTATACGTGTGACACAGAAGCGGACCTAAATTCAATTTAAAAAGCATGCTCATGGTACGCGTACGATGAGATATGACCCGTGTTGTGGTAGCAAATACTTGCAAAAGACTGAATGCAAATACAAGCACAATCGAATACAAATATATTATATATCGGTTGGCGATGTGTAAGGATTCAGCCATCATGCTTCTGCGTCGAACTGTAAATTTTGCATGTAGTCATGGAAAGAACTACAAAAAACAAAAGATGTTTATTTTACATCGTTACCCTAACCTCTCCTTATTTTCCATTTGTATTGTTTGTTTAAGCCAACCAAATCGTTATTTTTCACATAGTTTCATGACAGAGCATTATCAGAGATGGCTTTATTGAAAGGTTTTCGTTTTTTTATCTAATGGGCCTTTGGGGGTGGGTTTCACGTAATTTTTGATCACAAATGGTTAATTTTCTAGAAATACTTTGTGTGCATATGTTTTTGTGAAACTTTTTTCTTTTACTCCCGGTGCAATGTTTTGATTTATCTGTAACTTTAAACCAAAATCTATTTTTTTTTAAATTATTTCTTGATTTTTTGATATCTAATTGCAATTTGATTAGAATGAAACAAGCTGAAGCTATTTAGTGTGTCTGGTAACTCTGGCGTAACTATTATACGTGCCAGATGCAGTCATACAATATACATCTGAAGCATACAATGAACGAGAACTCGTTTTATCAAATTAAAAAATACTGTAAATTCTGTGCCTCTTTGGATATGAGTACCTCATTAAAAAAAAAAACTGCAGTTCTTCATTCAGTTTCAAGTTCAAGACTTTCACAGAGAGTTCTATTTATTTGTACCTGGTATTATGCTTAATTTGCCATCTTATAGTTCCATAAATGTACCAGGATCATTTTCAGGTCAAGCCAAGCACACATTCGTCGTTAGGTCAGGGACAAGCTTTGCACAGCATTAATAATATCGTTACATATTTGAACAGCCTTTCTACCGATATTTTGTTGAGTATCACCCAAGCTGTCTTAAGAATGAAGTATAGCCCGAGACAATTCTGCATATAAATAGATACTAGAAACCAGAAAGTGATAAACTTTAGAAAATGAAGAAGATAGGTAATACAATTTTCCAAGTTATCACCACCTCAAAAAATGCACTGAAATCTAAGTATATTAACTCGAAGAACTGCAATTATATTTTTGCTATTCCAATTCGGTTTAAAAGCTATCTTTGGTTCAGGTACGCTCTTTGTAGATTACAGTTTCTACGGTGCTGCCTTTATTTATTTTGTTATTTTTATTGGTACCGTTCAAGAGGAGGCAAATCTGTCTGACTTAACAGAAAAGTTATTGTTTGTTTGCTTACATAAAATAGTAGAAATGTGAACTTTGATTATACAGAGGTATTATTTAATGAGATGTGGATTAGGGAAGGTGGATTGGTCTCTGTATCTGGATGCTTAAGAGATAATGCAGACTAAACATACGTTTGCTGGATTCCCTGTAGTTAAATAAAAACTACTTGCATAAAAAAGCTTTTGATATTCATGCTTACTATGTCCATAGATTTCGATTGGATAGGCCAAGGTTAACCTCGTTGAATCTATTGACATAGTAAGCATAAATATCAAAAGCTTTTTATGTAGGTAGTTTTTATTTAACGATAGGGAACCCAGCAAACTTATGTTCAGTCTGCATCATCTCTCAAGCAACAAGATACAGAGACCGATAAATAATAGAAACAAAGCTTTACCGAGTGCAACTCGATTCTGCACTGTTTGGTTGAAAGGATCATTCAGTATCTTGTCTGTAATTTCTATTCTATTTAGGAATACCAAAATAACACCTGCAGTGGTTATCACAGTAGTTTAAAGACCGTCGGTTATGTCCCTTCTAGCCAATCCCTCGTACGGTCAACTTTCGAGCCAAATGCTTTGTCATTAGCAAGTCCATGAGTTTAATGATGATTTTAGTGGAAGACTGACTAAAGTGCTCTAAGGAACCTTCCACAAATTTTTCTAAAATGTGTTAACGAAGCTTCAAGCGTTTCTTCTGTTTCCAATGACATAACCATCATTATCGTAATATCATTATCTTCTCAACAATAATTTTAATATCTCTTAGCTCGTTACTATTTACTCGAGAAAAAAAATACATCCTTGTTGTCCACTCAATTATATTAATTCTTAAGATCTCTCCTGAAGGATGTTTGTTTAAGAGCAGCTATAGTCAATTTCAGTTGTCAATCAGCAGTAATATAATAAATAATCTTTGATTTCTAACAAAAGGGACATCCTGTTTATGTACAACGTTAGCTTAGTTTGCGAACATATTTTTATGACGATTGCTCTTTTTTCGCTAAAAAACTAAATTATTTTCGCAAAAACTTGTTATCCGTTGCGCTATAGGGATCGTTTCGATTGACCATTAAACACGATCCATTCTTTCCAGTATGGACATTGACGTTCTGTACTTTATAATCAGTCTTTGTTTATCAGAAAGTGGTTCATTCACGTTGTGTGTAACAAGGTTAAGTAATGTAATGAATTTTCAGCAACTGGTAATATACAAATGTGGTATATTGTTACTTAATAGTAGTATTAGCAGCACAAGGTTCTATACATGTGGTGATTCGAAACTCGTTGTGTAAATAAAAAAAGGGGTTGAGAGTTACGAATGTTGTTTCTCAGATTTTTTTTAGACCTCCATCAACATCTCCCGGTATCATAAATTCAGTTATGATTCAGTTAGCCATTGGATACTTGTAGTAGAAGTTAGAATGTTACATAGTGACCCAACCGAACACTGATTTTTTTTAATCTGAGTGCCTTAGCGTATCAATTCTTTACGACTTTGTTCATCAATTTAGCGATCGGACCGGATGTTCGTCAAGAATCATTGATACATGAATGCTTGCCTGGCAGCCAGTCCAGCCTTCGAATTAGAAAAGCCACAAAGATGTTGAAAATAATTGCCGTAGAAGGCCATCGTTCTATTCAATGGATAGCGACCATTAGTACCCCTGGAGGACAGAGTTATTTAGAAGATTGTTGGCTCTGCAAGTTTGTGTTCAACTCAAAATCGTTACAGCTCGAACTATGCCGTTGTCATTTATTTGCGTTTGAAACGAGCACGATGGTGTTCTTATCATTGGGACAATTTTTAGTCCCGTCAAACGAGGTTACTTGGTTTCCATATAAAACGTATTTTTCCAACTAGATTCGAAACATATCCGCAAGGCCAGAATCATATGGCCAGTCACAGGTTCTCAACAACCCATCCTATGGACTCATTCAAAGACAGTCTTAACAAACTGTAACTTTAGTGCTGTTATGGTGTATTGCTAGTCCCTTATTAAGCGCTGACAAAAAGAGTTCTTATAACTGTGAATGGGTAATCAAATAGTACAGTAGTAGCTTTGCTGCCTATATTTCTATACCTAATTAATCCAGTTAGAAAGTACAGACGGTAGTTGAATGAACATGAATAGGTAAAAATCATAAACTTGTTTTCGCCCTTCCCTTAATTTTAACATTTTTTAAAATATTTTTGAAAGTCACTAGCGGCAGAAACGACGTAAATGTTTTATCAACATTTGGCATATTTAATCAGGTGGTGTGGAACCCCACACCTCGGTTGGAAAGATGATTTTGTCCAAAATGGTTACCGACTAGTTTTTCTGCTAAAATAAATACATTGTAGTGCAAAGAGTATTGGAAAACCAAATGAGTCGGTCCTTTTGCCTATTTGATAATAATTAAAAATATGGCTTCTCTTTGCCGATTAGGTTAGGACGCTGGGTTTACGCCTGTGGCCATGATGGCTGTGTTGCTTCTCGTCATATCTATATGGGTGTTTTTTAGCTGAGCACCTTTATAATAAAGGAGTGTATTAGCTGGTAGTTTCCGTTGAACTCTGACATTTTTGTAAACCATTCTTTGCTCTGGAGGACCTTTTAATCTACTGCACTGTTGATAGCTAAAAGTCTTTTTAAAGGTCGTATCCAAAAAGTCTAAAGGATTTTGTTCTTTGCATCGCTGTAGAATATTGTCCATATTGGTTTATCGTTTACTCTGATTATCTTCTACTAGTAGCGTTAAAACCATGCCATGTTAGCATTTGAACTGTGTAGAGTGATACCTGAGTATGTCATCTAATGTACCAGCCGAGTATATTTTCTAAACCTTGCGCTATGAGCCTGTTTAATTTGATGTGTTAGCCCAGAACTCCTTCTACTCTAAAGTGTTCTCCTTAAGCCTGATTTCACTTTCTCCTCTGCAAGGTTTCAATGAATAGTAATGGCTATTGAAGTTGTTTGAAGGTACCGGATATTTTCAGTATCATTTGCAGCTGTACTGTATTTATATTGTTTTTCATAGCTTTACTTCATAAAGCCTAGAATATTACGGACTGCGCAACGCTTGCTAAGACGCTCCTCATAAGACCCGCATATCTTGTGCGTAAACCTTCCTATGGCGGCAATTGCTTTATAAACCTTTTCAGGGGCGTATTTAGCAAGGGCCTACCCGTTAATGACCTGCCAATGAGAACTCGTTGTATTTAATTTCCTCTCCGGGCAAAAACTGGAGAACTTTGATTATAACCACGTAGCAAAAAACTCATTAGAAATATTTTTTAATAATATGCTATAACTATCTCCACTTTCGGCACAATCTATGCACAATATACACCGTAAACTTTGGTCTTTATGACTGCTAGGATGCTTTTTGTATAATACGGTAATATTCATGCAGTCTGCTTTAAGAACCAGATAAATTGCGTGCGTTGTTTATTGCCAGATCAAATGACTTGAGAGTAAGGCTTGTCAACAATTGAAGTGTGCAAACTTTTGTTTGCCTAAATAAGTCTAAGATAAGATAAAGTATAGTCATTAGTACAACAGTAACGCACCATAATCGTCGCATAATTGATTGACTTCCCCACGTATCTTTACATAAAGCATGAGTATTTATAAAAAAAATGTACGGTCAGTGTGGAAACCTTTTTGACAATCCTTTGGTGGGTCGCCGAGAATCATTTTATTGTTATTGTTGTTGTGAATTATTGTAATACCTGTTATACATACAATTCACGCATCCAAAAATATTCACGGATTATTAAGTTTTGTTCTATTATTGTCTGTTACAATAATATATTTTTATTCATAAAGCCTAGTTGTAAATAATGTATTTCAGTGTAAATGTTTGATTAACCGGTGCTTAAGCTTGACAGAATTTGATATGTGATATTATATCACCAACATCTGCACATAACAAATCCAAGGAAAAATAAAATCACATTGTAATAAGCAATATTAGGGTTTTTAACATTACGTCCCGTTAGATCTGTCTGCAGATTTCTAGCATAACTAACAGCCTGCTTAAAGATTCGACAATGCAAAATATATCCCAATTCGATAACTTGCGTATTGTCCAATTAGGCCAATGAGATGTTTGACATATCGTATTAATGCACCTCTACAGCTATGGAGGAGTAAAGCGAAACTTTCAAAAGGCCAGCCTAGAAAGTAAACCAATCCGCTTCGTCGTGTGGCGTTCTTAAATAGCTAGTTACATGGGCGCGACACTTAAGTTATCGATTTCCTGAGATTGAGCTGTCGAAATTGATATTTACCAGAGCCCGGTTGGAAAGGCAAGTCAAAAAATCTAAACACCTGACCATGAAACGAAGGTGGCAAGCGATCAGATTTGTGGGTACGGGGTTTTTACAAAAAGCTGTGCATGTCTATTACGATCCGAATGCGACAAACGGATATGTCTTCTACACGAGATTATACTAACATTTAAGGTTGCAGAAAGCCAGCTCGCTTCGATGTTCCGTCAGTAGCTCCAATGAAAAGAGTGAGAAAACGAAACATCTATAAGATTTGTTCAGTTTAGGCGAGCGCTGGTTAACGAGTTAACCACGAAAAACCACCATAACGAAGTGTACCCCGAGCTAATCATCTTTGTTGGAACTGCACGTTTACAAGTACGGAATTTCGCTTTATGGACACACCTGGCTAGAACTTTACTTCTTAAGCCAGTTGATGATATTATAAGGATTATGTTATATTGGTACCATTTAGCATGAACCACAGCATAAACGTAGCTTTTGCGGGAGAAACCATTAATTAGTCAGTTATCGCTGGCGACCTACGGTTACTATACTGCGAGCACGAGCTTGGCCTAGATTGGTCGAAGTCGCGTGCATCCAGTACTCCTGCGGCCAGCAGAAACTTTGATCTTTGCAACTTGTCACAGGGTTCATTCAAGCGTCAAGGGGATGGTCCTGAAGTTTACAGTCGCGGCATGGACACCGTCCATGCCAGTAATTCACGTTAGCAGATCCATGGAGCCGAGGGAATCGGTAAAAGCAGTAAAACGGACAGTGAGGACTTAGCGTTAAATGAAAGTTTAAACAAGGATGTGTAACACAACTTTTACTCGACGCTAAAGAACATGTCGACATGAATCACGAAATCGTAACATGATAAGCGTTACTGACCTGTAATGAACTAAAATATTATAAGTAACTTTAAGAATCTAACAGACCTTTGGAGTGCTTGGTTTTGCCAGCTGACAAAGCAATATCAGCTTGTTTATATATATATATAGAAAGAGAGAGAGAGAGAAATAGATTGTTCTAAGACTTGCACATTTTCTTACCCTGCTTCTGCCAAATTTAGAAAACGGATTAGTCGACATGACACATAACTGTAAACATCTTTTCTTGGCTGTGACAAATCGTAGTTAGTATACACCACGAGCATTCCCTACTTTGTTGTTTCTTTCGAATTAATGTACAGTATGACCAATAACGTAGTTGAGATGTTAGCAAAGCTCGTGTTTTGCACAAAACATTGCTTCCGTATAGCTTTTGAATCCCTACCCAACAATGTATCAATTTCTACGTGTAGCTAAATAATAATATCTAATATAATTGTTCTCTATGATACTCTCATAAAGGTGATTATCACCTGGTTTGTTGCACTTTTGAGCTTAGGACAAACAATTCATGAACAGCCTTTCTTATTATTATTATTGAAAGTTATGAAATAGTCGTATATTATAATCATATTTCAGATACGGATTTCATGCTTACGGGTTGTAATGGTTACTTAGTTGAAAAAGATAGCTTGCGTAACCCTCAGCAGTGTTCTTCACTTATCATGGATATTTCAGAATAACTGGGGATTTTTGTTGTAGTCATTGTAACATTCCCCTTAATTCATACCCCGTAACAGGGGTTTTCCTTTACATAAAACATCGATGTAACTAAGAGATTTCAGCATAATGAGGTTCTTTTACATTTGGCTTTATTTTTACCTACAAGGATCCACGGTTCAGTTCAGTAGAATACGGGTGATAAAAATTTCGAAGAAACACCGAAGATCTTCCAAATCGTTGAGCCCGCTCAATGTATTTGGCTTACCTTTGGAGGCGTAATCTATGCCAAAATCCTTTTTTGATCTAAGTGGAGTTCTACATCTGGCATTCGGAAAGGATGATATATATTGACTTGTTCGTCAAATACCTTCATTTGCCGATCCTTCCGCATACATCCGAATGGAATTAAAAATCATGTTAAAAACATACACAAGCATACTTTGTATCTATGTGTTGTTTCCTTATTCCACTGGCTAACTGGTCTTTAACAGAATTCAGAAGACGACACATAAAAGTATTACTGAATATCATGGCTGCACAAATAGGCCAAGTCAGAAGCCGATTGACTGTAGGTGAAGCTAAATCTCAGAAGAAGACCGTACGGCTTTCTTGGCATTAGGTGGCGTTTTTTTTTATAACATTTCATTTTACGTTTACCCTTAGTCGGCATAAATATAGAAAAATAGTTGATCGTAAATTCAAAATCCGTCGACAAAGTGGACACAGTGTACTCTAACGACTTATCGGCATGGAAAGTTGTCACTCTGAACTAGGTTATACTACAACAGTGTTATTTATGCGAAATACACATGCTAGCTTCAGTTCCGGAAGAAGCCCGCTAGGACTCAGTATCAATATATACCAGCTGGACGCTGCGCATGTTTGCCTGCTTTTCGTGTTATACGTTCGGTACATAGGCTATCAGATATTCCTTCAAACGGCTGGCCGCTAATACGAAACTGTCTTAGCCTGTTAAGGAAATATAAAAAGAGTCCTCAAATGGAGGCACATTTTGGCAGACTGTTTGTCATGGCTATTATGCGTTCATTTTCTATTCTTGGTTCTAGAATAGAGTCCTTGATTTATGGAGGGGAGCACATGCATTTTGCTACTTATGACCTGATAAGAACCCAAAGTTTAATTCGCTGCAGAGCTTTATATTCAACGTATTTAATGAACCGTTTAAAAAGTACACATTTATTAATATCGCTTAACGTACGGTTTCTACTAAAAAGTTATTTGTAGATTAAAGAAGAAACATTTAAGTCATTAGTGAATGTTTAGTGCCCGAAGTTTACAATCTTTGAGAATGTGAGAAAAAGAGGACAATTTAGAATAAATTTAGTCCGGATAGAAAAGGCTAGATGTGAATTGAAGCAAAGTCCGTGTTCTACTAAGATACCTGTCTAGGGACCGTTCCTGCTTTTCTCACTCCAAGTAATACATACAAGAGAAAAAAATACGTAAAAAGTTACATTAGAATACATAAAAGCCTTCCTCTGAGTTAGTATGCGTTAATTCTTATTATATATACAATTAGGATGTTTTAGAACGTAAATAAGGTTTACCATATAGCAGTGTTTTGTGCTAGGCGCAAAAAAGATGTCCATTTCGCCGGACCATCTGTAAAGTAATTGCAAGCTCTTGGTAAGAAGGAAACTTGGTACACGTTAATTAACACTAAATATTAAGACTGAGTTTTTTTGAATTTATAGGTTATGGTTATTATTAAGTCCCTAAAAGTTCGTATTTAAATGTTAGTTATCATTTACTTGCTGTTGATTGTACGTGTCAACGCTGTACAATAACAGACAGAGAGATGTATAATAACAAACCAATAGCCTGAAAATTGTACTTTCAAGCGTGAGCGGAGGGAAACGTAGCTAAAATATTTCAAGTAAGAGAAATCTACAGGAGCAACCCCGGAACAGCCTGGAATGTCACACTTCAGTGTTTTCTTTATGATTCATAAGATTCGGCTAGTGAATTTCTTCATACATGTGCTTCCTTTTATTGTGTGAATGTAATCTGCAATGGGAACTAGCATGAAAAACGGCATGAATAAAAACAAGGACAGTTTTATGCATATGAAATTGTAGTTAATCAATTAGGTTACATTTCTTCTTTTCTTCCAGATGTTTGGACAATATAAGGAAGATTTAGGTCAGTTTGCGAGATCGGAAGCTCTAAGGTTAAAAAATCTAGAGAAGTTACGCAAGACTGAGGAAAGACTTTCTAATAAAGATTTAAAACCCTACACCAGCGAGTGTCAGCGCAAGTGTTTCAGTAAGTACCGTCAACAACTCTTACAAAAAAAGTTTGTGCATTTCTATACTCAGGTTCTCCATTGGGAAAGTGTTGCAGATATATAATGAAATCATTGAACCAATTGCTTTCTATTATTTGGTGTAGTAAAATACAAAATTCTGCTGTAATATTATACATCGAAATTATACCAAACTTTTCACGGTACGCCTGATACTGCTTTACGTTCGGTTTGACAGCGCAGATTGTTGCACCAACCATTTTATACTTGACGTAACTTTTGGTCGTAGTAAGATAGTAAAATGATCTTTGAACTATCGAAAAAATATCCTGATCGTTAGCGCGTGCTACAGCTAAAGAAATAAATTATTTACATGATAAGTACAATTTGTCTATTACTCCATTTCTAAATGCGTTATTTCTATACTCAAGCATATGGAAGATTAAACTTAGATCACAAAGTTATGTTTCAGAAATTTGTAAAGTTAACAATAATTAATAGTATTGCTTGAGCTATTCCTTTACTCTTTGAAACTCGCAAGTTCGCAGCAAATACTTGAAACTCGTTTCAAGTATTTGCTGCGAACGTGCTCAAAAAGTGCTGAAACGTTTTACCATGCGAAAGTCTACATTAAGGTTAAAAATGGAAAAATTTCATTTTTACTAATTTCCACAGGAGAAAATGTAAATAGTATTTTTACAGCAGGTCATTTAATCGAAACGTGAAACCGTAACTACCTAGAGCTACCAGATTCGATGGCTTGTTATAAGCAACTTTGTTAGACGAACTATTAAATATTAGTAAATTAACAGTAAAAAGACAGTTCTACACATCTTTAAAACGTCGAGATTTGTTCAACTGATTCTCAGGTTGATTGGTAATCCTGTTCAATAAGAAGTTTGCCAAAAAGCTTGAAACGTGTACGCTAGGTGCGTTTTCTCAGGTTTACAGGTTAAAAAAAGATATTCTTACGGTTCGAATACTGCTTCGAATGACGCGCCACTTTGTTTTATTTGCGAGCCTATTTTTAACTTGATAAGTCTGACTTAAATCAATTCTTCAAATAAAAGCGCTCAATTATATATATTCAAATCAAATGGCTAGAACGGGAATCTGCTGCAAACCCATGGTTGCAAATGAAAAGGATGCTTAAAATTGTTTTCCGTGTTCACTCTTCATTTTAAACGGCTTTATCCAACGATGAGAAGACCAGTTAAAATACTGTTTTAGAATCTCTTGACCTATCATTTGCAAAACTAGACTGAACATCCAGTCAAAAGTATTTGATCCGGGAAGTCACAGATTTTTTCTACTTCCGTAATCGAAAATAAATTTGTCAATAAAAAAATATGTCTTCTGAATGAATCATCAATTCATTTTTAGACTTGTTCTTAGAACTTTGGAAAATTTGCATCAACTGCGGCATGCGTTGGTTTAGATGCAGGTACAGAATTGATTACAGCAAGGACCAAGGAGACAGCGCTCATGGCATAGGGAAATCCTTGGCTGAGCTCTTTGGTTTTTATATTCATGTTGGTGTCCGAATGATATTGATGGAATCCATAAATTAAAAAGGAAGTAATTTTTTGGATAATTTTATGCCATTAGCGGTTAATTCGGTTATTTTTCGTCGCATCAAAGTAGTATGAAAGGGTTAGACAGAAATGCACGTTATTAAGATCAATTAAAAGAATAATCCAGCAAAAGTAGTTCTCTAAATAACGATAATGGTCACTGAATCGGAAGTACTTTCATTGCAAGAGAGCACGACAGCCCATACCTTAGTTACGGAAGTCCGTTTGGTCTTAAAAGCTTGCTCTATCATGTTACCACCTGCTCAGATCCATGCAGAATTTATTATACATATAGTAGTAGCATCGGAAAATAAGCTATTAGCAGTAAGGGCTGAAGTTCGAAACCAAGTCGATGAATGCCTTTTTCTGTGGCCGATTCACTAATCTGAACGGTGGAGGGTATCGCGACAAGGAAAGTAGATTACTTTTAATGGCAAAATAAATCTTCCTCAAAAGTTAAGCACACTTCAGATAAAGAGAAAAACTTTTGCCACTTCTATGTATGGCATACTTTCTGTACTGTTCGAGGCTTTAGGGCATTGATGAAGCATCGATCGAAGTATCTGAAACTCTTTTATTGATGCTTGAAAATAAAAAAAGAAAACGCCAAGGGATGAGTGTCGGTCTGTTACAAGGATATAAAATGACAAAGCAGCTGTATCCATACCGTAAGTCGCTTTTTTAAACTGCTTGGGGTCGCTCATAAACTTCGACGGAACATCGAGAAAGATCATTTTAGTGAAGAAAATGTGGACTAAAAGTTTGGCTACATCCAAATCTTTCACGAAAAATTTAGGCAATGGGTATAAGTTAAAGGTGGCGGACGGAACAAAAGGTTAATTCCAGCATCCTGAAATACTATGCTCTTATTTGTCGGGCTACCGCATTCAAACTCATTCATTTTGTCGTTCCCTATCTCAAAATTTTGATTTTCACAACAGTTGCAAAAGCCAGACGGTATGTTATTGGACTGGACGTTTCCGTTTCTTACATTTTTGGTGCCTGCGCCCTGATGCCGACACTTAGGCTCACGCTGTAGTTAGATTGGCCTAAGGAGTCTAACCGGCTCGTGCAACAAATCGAATTTTAGGCAGAAGAAACCGGCTCAGAAAAAAACAGCAAAAACCCAGAAAGCCATTCTACTAGAACTGTAACAGGATTTATCAAAAAAGTTGTATCCTTGGTACAGTGGATGCTACAAGAAAATATATACATACATATATAAATTAGCTCCATTGTTCTTTCTAATTTCAGTAAAGAAATCTATTCAGAAATAAGGAGTAAAGTAGAGAACATTGGAATAATAATGATTGCCATAGGAAAGTTGAAGTTTTTCCATTAACACAAGTCATTAAGTTCTTTTAGACCAACAAAACCAACGTCAGAATTCCATGCCACCGTGAACTTCTACATGGCAAATTATGCGGACTGAGAGCTATATAACGTCCAAATGGACCCAAAAAGTGAACATTCATTTTCAAATTTCACTACGAGATGTATTTTCTCGTTCATATTTCCAGATTTTCTATCACGATGTTGGAACAGTACTTTCTCGAAGATTGGTGGCGAAGACTGGTTTTTCCTTCTTCTGCTTGGTGTCATCTCATCGCTCATCTCATTCGCAATGGACTTTGGAATACAGACATTTTTAAGAAGTATATTTTATATCCATATGTTATTTCTACAGTGTGTGTCTACTAACAATATGCCAATTTTTTAAAAGGAGCATTCTTAAAAGAAAGCGTAAAATTACAGCTCACATCACAAATATATAGCTGTATTTTAGTCGAAGCCCTGAGATTCTGTGAAGCTTAAAGGTCGTCTTATAAAGTATCACTAAGCTATTAATTAATACTAGGGTATTTGTTTCAGGTTACTATGTATGCTAAATTGGGTCATGTTAAAACTTCTGTCATTGCCAGTTGAATAACCAACTGGTATAGTACGGTTTTTAGTGGAGCTCGGAAATGGTTACACTTTCCACTAAAGCACTACTACAATTATCAAGTTTATATAGCAATCGCTTTTTATTTTCTAATTACATTGTTCGCGATCGAAACTCATCTTATTTAAAACACTGCTATAGAGAACAGTTTGAAGTTCAGAATCAAAAGGAACTTCACTATTATATCAGAATAAAGGTATATATACCGATCAATACAATTACTTAATTTACGGATCTGTGTACCCTAGTTAAGAGGATAAAGCAAAAGATACCTACAGAATACCAATGCCATTTTATTATTCATTTATTTCAAAGCCATAACGATAATAATCGGTTCCATTCATTGATTAGCTCGTCAATGGCTATATCACGACCTGGCTTCTCATCTGGCGTTAAAATATATTGCGTGGGTTTTCTTTCCTGTTCTACTTATCCTGTTCTCATGTGGATTTGCCCATACAGTAGCGCCACAGGCAATTGGTAAGTGATTATTACGTTCTAACTATCATAGCACATATACGATCATCGCTTTTGCCGCAATAGCTTTTTTGTAGAGTTTGTGTGGCGCGACTTTTACATACTCTAAATAGGTAAAGTCCTTAATTCAATTTAGCACAATGGGCATCCAAATGATAAAATAAAACATGTGTCTAAACTGCGTGTTTTGGCATCAACTGATTATTTTAATTATGAACTTATACATCTTTGATTCCCACGCTTAAGGATTTTTTCTGTTGATTTTTTATTTTCATAGTAATTTTAAAACATCACAACAGAAATGTGTCGAGTTGTCGGAGATCAGAGTTTCAGAATAGGATTTTTGAATTTTCCCTTGGCTTTTATTTATCAACCAAATTCTCTATTTAAGGGTCGGGCATTCCAGAGATGAAAACTATCCTCCGAGGCGTTGTTCTCAAAGAGTATCTTACATTCCAAACACTCGTCGCAAAGGTGAGTTGATTTAATTCCTATGTGTACTGTGCAGATGGTGGTCTCCAATCTACTGTTTCTCAAATATAATATCTCATTAAATTGAACAAAGTAACCATTAATAATTTATTATACATACCGGTAAAACTACTGTCACGCATACACAATCTTGCATACTAACCTTTTTTCGCTTAATATTATAGACAACATGTTACCTGCGTTGCAAAATATATAGAAGTATAAACAAATATATGTGTTTTGACGAATATGTAGTAACAGGTAATTTACCTATCAACTAACATTAAGCTAATCTGTATAATTTGTAAACTGAGTACAACTGGCAGTGAAAACTTTTTAAGTGTGAGGCTACGGGACTGCTCTTTAACGAAAAACGATCGCTTAAATCAATTGCTCGAGTAAGAAAATTATTAATATGAACAATTCGACCATATAATTTTCATTCATCAAGTGTATCGATCAAATACAGGATACAACTAAGAGGTTTAAACATGTGTGATTATTTAAGTTTCAAAGATAAAAAACGAACAACAACTAATTAAAAAAACTTATTAGATAAACCTTTCCTAGAAGAGCTACTCGCTAGGAAAAAGCGGGCCTGGATTTTGTTCGACTTATCGGGAGTTTCCCCAACAGATTTGTGGCGCATAGTGGCTATATAACACAGTAAACATTTGCTGACGCTACACTTTGAACCAGCAGAGGCCACACGTCCACGTTATCGTGGCAATGTGCTCAGAGGTGTGCATTAGTCACTCACATCATGTACACCCTACCGTAAAAACTTAGTCTGCAATCTTTTTACAGCCAAATTATCCTAAGTACCAAGCCTGGGAACAATATGATAGTATCATTTTTACCATTACTTCTAGGTTCTGTAAACTGCAAACGAGTGAGACGGAAATACCGTCCAGTGTGCAATTTGTTATTTAATAATTTACTTGTATTATTATGGTGTAAATTTCATTTTTATTTCCAACAAACTCTCTCGGGCCCTAAACGTAGCGTGTTTCATACATACGTAGGATTTGAAACTGTTTACGGAGTTTTAAGCTAACAAACGGGCTTTTTCATAGGTGATTGGATTAACGTGTACGTTAGGCAGCGGGCTGCCTTTAGGAAAGGAAGGGCCTTTCGTCCACATATCGTCGCTCATTGCAACTGTACTATCTAAAATCATCTATTCGTTCAAAGGCATCTACGAGGTAATTAAAAACATGTCAATTATTTACAGCCCTACAGATATCCAATTTGTTGAGGAAATATCCATTGTTCTAACGCCCTAACTGTGCGAACTGCTACTATAAGGTTGTGTGACACTGCAAGAAGGGAAAGACTCACACAGGGGTGAAATCGGTCTTCCTGTATAACCTCAACGTGCGAAGCATAAGAAGGCAGTAGTCCGCAGTACCAAGTAAAATCTTCGGTAATGAGACAGACCGTTAATGAAATTGATAAACCAGTAATGTAATATGTTATTAGCCTATGATGAAAATTAGTTATTTGAGATATAAAAGTAGCACTGAAACGCAAAGCATGGGTGGGTACATATTTACAGTTAAAAGAGCTTTGCTTCAATTACACATAAGTGAGTGCTACGCAACAGATCTGTAGAAATTATAGAAGACCGAAGTAATGGTAACATATTGTCATTCAAACAAAGAAGAAAGAAGGAAAGTCAAAAAGACATTCCGTATCTAAATTTCAAACAACACAAAGAAAAGGCGAAACGGACGAAGGCCTGAAAAAAAACAGTCTAAAATTAAATCTGTTTCATGACTATTATTATAATGGGAATAAAAAAGCACAGACGAGAACTTTATAGATGGAAAACAGTAAATTTGTTGATCTAAAGGATTTATTTATAGTATTTACGTGCCTACAAAATTGCTGACCAATGCCGGTTTGCCTACGAAAGGGCCGACTAAGAAGAAGGCGAAAAGATATTATGTAGGTTTTTTCAGAAAATACAAAGTACTACACCTAGCTGAGACGCGCTTTAATGGGTTGTTTCTCGTCAGCTATTATTTAACCTTTACAAGTTTGACAAGCGTTCAGCAATATTAAAAGCATCTTTTTTTGCCAGATATCGATGCTCGATGTCATTCTCAGTTTTTTGTGCCGCTTCTAGAAAAAGAAGAATTTACATTAGAGAAACTTAAACATTCTTGGTAGGATTTGGATTTAAGGGGTTAGAGAATCGTCCAAAAAAAAACACACCTGATGCATCTGGATTTTTTTTATAGAGAAAGTGACAGTCAGTTGGGAGCAGAAAATATTAACTTCCAGTTTTGTGCATCATCCAGACATTTTGACCTCTTTGATCTTTTGCATTCTTGGGATTGTTTGCCAGTGATCACCCAAGAATTTCTTATTATCGGAATTTTTTATATAAGCAATAATTTAATGAGTTTAGACCTACCAATATCCCTTTGCGCACCGAAAGCTTGAAGAACAATGTCGCGTTTTGAAGACAATACACAACCCGTCATAAAAATGTACAACAGAAACCAGAAGCAAATATCGTTTAAGTATGCATGGAATAAACGGCTAGATTAAAAATCTGGGTTTAGAATCAGTTTCAAACGGTAGAGTCAGGAAGAGGCAGCGTCCCTTGATTAGCGTCAGTTCTGAACTCTATTTATGAACACCATGTCAGACTTGAATTAACAACCTTTTTCCATAAAGAATGAAAATATGCTTATGTACAATATGCATTATAACATAATTAGCAACAAACGAGGAAAGTACAGCAGATACTGTGTCTCTTAAACAAAAACTAATCACCATTTGACCTTTCGACCAAATACGGAGCTCTTACTATATAAACAAGCTCACGATCACAGCAATAAGCTCAGAATCCCATGTGTATTGAAATACTTTCATGAATGAGATAAAAGCAATCTATGTTACAAAAAATAGCGGTACCAAACCAATATATATTGTACATCATTGTATATAGTTCACACATTATATGGTAAGGCATACAGCGTCCTTAGCGAATCATGGGTACTTGTAGTAAGCTATCTATGTTATCTGCTGTTTCAGCTTACTTCACTACCCAAGTTTCTATATCTTAAAATCAACATTTTTACGTATTTATTTCCAAGGCAGTTTTTAACATCATATTTTATATATCTTACAATGTTTATTGTAAAACGATTGCAGAACGAGTCCCGGACGAGTGAAATGTTAGCAGCAGCCTGCGCCGTTGGTGTTGCGTGCACATTTGCTGCTCCGCTCGGAGGTAAGTGCGTCAAATCAGTCCACCCGAGAAATTCTAAGATAACAATTCGTTTAAAGGCGCATTCTGCTTATCCACTGCGGTCTGAGACAATGCTGGCCATTTGACGCATCGATTGTTACATATTAATGTAAACATGGTTTCTTCGAGTGCTTTTTCGGCATGTTCATGTCAACACGGTTTCCATGTTGACATGAAACAAATGAAGTTGGTGCGATTTGTTTTAGGTGTGGTAATTTGAAGTGTAATACTAAACCTTATACACTATATTCTTCAGTGTACCTTCTTATTGAAGGCCTTAAGGCTTCTAAGTATAAGCTAAGTCTAAGCTTAAGTAAGAGTTCTTCAATAAGTATAATGTCATGGTAAAGTGTTGTATTTCAGGTTACAATTACAACTTTAACAATATAGGCATTCAAAGCACTGGTCTAGGAGGCTTAACATATAATATTTTGGTATCTGACCGCGGAAGCATTCCCGCGTTTAAGAAAGCACTATTTTCTTTAGTGCACATTTTTACATGCTCTTTCTATCACAATTGCTCATAAATTATTTGTTAGTTTAAGCTCCATGTATTTGCACTGCTTGTCAAAGAAGCATGTCGTCACATTTTGGTCTAATGTGGAAGTATGACTCTACTTTAAAGGCTGGTTTTACGCTGATTATACACTGATTCTCTAAAGGCGTTTAATAAAAAAAATGTAAAAGCAGTGGTTTTCTTTCATAGTTTGTTGAAAGCAGAACCTAAAAATAAATCTAGTATGTGTAGCCTACATACTTCAGCATTGCTGTATTAAAGTAGAAGTTCTCGCGCTCTTTTTACTGAATAGAAAGTAACACATTTTTTGTTTGTGATAATAGATTATTTTGTTTACGACTGTATTACGACTTTCTCTCTCATCTTACCACCAAATGATGTATCTCCGCGGCGAGTTTCATTTCGAAATTCTTCAACTGCCTTTTTGAGTTGTTGATCTGTGTTCAAAGTAAGATCACAAAGGTGATTGTCCAACAAACGAAAAAGGTGAAAATACGTCGCAAGATCTGGGAAAATCGAAATAGGGTGCAACAAAACGCCCCATTCGATGTCCAGGAAGGTAGGTTCGGGTATGTTTTCCGTGTGTGATTTCGCGTTGTCATGAAACAAGATTGTCTGACCTCGTTTGCCGAATTTGTTTTCTTGAATTGCCTTGTTGACTCGGTGCAATTCGGCCAGTAAACTATATGATTTGCAGAAAATAACTTCTGCCTAACAAAGTGCTTGACTTAAAACATTTAGAAAGCAATTCCCAGTGAATCAGGTTTTTGCAATCGCACTAAACGCAAGCCATACCTTTTTTTTTTTGGTTAAAGATATGGGTGAACCCTGGACCTCAGCTCCTCTACTAGACTCATTTCGGTCTGTAGTTCATGTCGACATACAGGCACCGTTTCTCACTGCTAGTGAGATATCTGTATAAAATCGATCATCGCGGCCGTGGAACGTTTGATACCGGGCGAGATGTTGAACGGCCATAATGCTTTCCCGGAGTCAGGAAATTCAAGAGGTCGCCAAGCATTCCTGAATAACTTCATAGGCCTTAAGGTGGCTAACAACGGTCGTGTGGTTGTAGCCAATCTTTTGGCCAATTCTCGGGTTGTTTGTCGGTTATATTTCTTTCCAAAGTGGCTTCAGTGGTTGTCATCAAGCCCAGACGGTCGGCCAAAGCGGGAGGCATTTTCCAGGCCCCAAGTACCATTTTCGGGCTCAATAAAATTACTCTTGAGCATTTATTTCAGCCATAACGTCGTTACCATATACCAGGCAACTATCTCGGGCTCTTTTGGTAGCGTTTTGTTCTCGATCAATTGCACAGTGCAAAAAGTGCTGAATATGTATTTTTTTTACCTGAAACACCCATCTTTGAAGAGTTCTATGGTACTGAAGTTGCAGTTACAACACGACACCGCCAAAGCCCACAGAGATAGAGCGGGAAAAATGTTTTCGAACGGTATATAAGTCGTGGACAACAATTGATGTTCAATAAGTATATTAGTACAGAAAAAACACTACGTTATTAACAACTGTTACGAACATTTTCTTTGCAACCTAATAATATAGAGTTGCCCTTACAATTTTAACTGATAGAATTTCAGCGAGCAACTGACCTCAAGGTGAATTACTTTTTGACGGTGTTGATAAAAAGTTTTTTTTGCATATGGGTCCATGCAAAGTTCATGCAAATGAACTCGAACTCTGTAAGCCTTCAGTTAATCCCTTCAGCGGAGAACAATCGTAAGGGACTATGAATAGAGTAGAAAAGTAGTGACGGGATATGCACAATCAATTATTTAATAAGTGTAGTAAGTGCGACTTTACCTGCTCAAACAAAAAGAAATATGAATACTATTTTGGAAATAGGGTAATTCTAATAGGAGTATCCATTGAAGATATGATGATCGTGGTTCCACCGAATCTACCTCTGACGTTCATGTAACTAATGTTATACTGTTTGTTATATTAAGTCCAACTTTATAAGAATATCGGACGTTTTGTAACCGTGAACAAAGCGTCTAACAAAGGTTTGCATGACTACGATTGTAATTCATGTAGCTCATACGAAGCACCTTAATAGACGACACATGTACATGGAGGTGCCTCATATTGACATACAATACGATTTTGGCGCCTACATTTATTATTTTTGTTAGGCTCACGACTGTTGTTGATGGATCCCGTCTGAATAGCAATCAGAATACTGCAATATATTGTAAATAGTTCCGTACATAGCACCCGCTGTAGGTTTCATCAAAAGGAACCCTGATTTCGCTTTGTCTGAATTGGTGCTAACGAAAATTACTATGCTTCACACAGTTTTATTGGATTCATAGTCATATCATTACACATTGATCACAAATTTTATTTTACGAAAATATATTAACTGTGCAGAGTTAATTATAATTTCATTTCATGTGATGGTCGAAAATTGTTATATTCTACCATTTTCAGGTGTCTTATTCAGTATCGAGGTAACATCAGTGTTTTTTGCGGTCCGCAATTACTGGCGGGGTTTCTTTGCGGCCGCTTGTGGTGCTCTCGTGTGGCAGCTGCTTGGCGTCTGGTTACGAGAACAAGGTATTGAACGCCATACAATCTTATGTGTACGCTTACATTCGTCCTTACATTTACATCATGAATTTACAATCATATTCTCATGTTAACTATATAAAAAGTGAACTATAGGCTTAAAACTTTTTTTACGAGTTTTCCGAAACTGAGTTCTTGCTGACTCGGAGAGAATCTTCATTTTTCCAGAAACATGCGGGAAGTACTAAAGCACAAACTTGTTTTTCATTTAATTGTTTTTTTTATTTGCAAACCTTATGTTCGAGGTTTGTGTCATCAAGCATACGAATTATGCCATATATGGATCAAACTGGGTTCAATCGCGGCTTCGTGGAAGATCGGCTTGACTTACTAAACCATCTTATTCATCTTTATAAATATGGAATACTATTCTGCTTAAGGGGAATACTATTCTGCTTAAGGTGCATAAAAAGGGAAATTCGTACCACATGAGAAGTCATCTAGACCAAAGCAGCTTTAAAAAACTGAAAAAAATAATTTGTTTTCAAACTGAAACTATTAAAATATTCGATTGCGTGCTATTGGCTTCAAGGTCTTACTGCAAGCAGTCGTCTAGTCGGAGGGACAAAGACGAAAGGCAAAAGACGCATCGACTGAAAGTATAGTATACAGCTGAACTGCTACGTAGCTTATATCTTACGAAAACCTTACATTTGCCAACCAATTCGCACGTTTCTGGTTCCAATAATTATTGTCAACTACCGCATGAGCAAAGCACCGTAATAATTTTCGAAACTGTCATTAGTACCACAATAAGCTTTTTTTTTTGAAAGTTAATAGTATTTATGTATCATAGTATTTCCTAGAACGATTGTGTAACGTGATGCAATCAGGAGTACAGAATCATTTGCAGTGCTTTATATATATAATTTACCCTTCCAGTGATTTGATAATAAGAAACGTCGTTTGCAGCACCTAAGCATTCTGAAGTGTTGACAGAGGAGTACTGAAATTAAAGAAAAACAAAATACTGAATGAAGCCATGTTGTTTACGTTTGAACGGTAGAGTTGTGTACAGTTGCTTGAGTATTTCTATTGTTGCACCTATAAAGGGTTTTGTGCGCCTAGAATTAAAATAAACGAATGCCAGTTACATGTAATAACAAAGAATCTGGTCCTTCATAGAGGTGAGGGTTTTTATAGCTATTATATTGCCAGTTGTCAATAGATAAGCTCGGATAAGATCGGATCATATAACTAGTAATGTCACTATTTTGGCTTGAAAATCTCTAAGAGGGCACTCCACACAAAAACCCGACTCACATTTGCCAAACAAATCAATTCAATTTATTGCTGAACTTATTAACTTGTGAGTGGCGTACTGTCTCTCCGTTCTTTTATAGGATTCGATCTCGACCGGCTCTATATCATTGAGCGCAACAAATGTAAGATTAACAATTACATTAGTAAAGCAAGGAAACGCACCTAATTTGTTGCACCTCAATGTAGTCGTAAAGAAGACTTTTTAAACAGACTTCTTAGAAAATGCTGAACTAATCTCACTGATTGTAATTGCGATACTGTAGCCGTTTTTTGGGTATCCACTACCACTAAGAGATGCATATAGGCTCAAAGTTTAAATAAAACCAAAAGATAGAAGGGTATACAGTATCTACTGTATTATTTATATCATAACTGCACAGTTCATTAAAAAGCTTTATGGATTTACATTTTTTTTCATTTATGTTCGCTATGAGCCCGCATATTTTTTCCCACCTTCTCTTCACTAGTGTTAAACCTGTATACTAACAACGCTAAGGCTAACATTAAATGTGTGTGTTATCAGTATACGTCAAACAATTATTAACGATCAATAACTTAATAAACCTGAGACGTCACGGTTCAGCTCGTTGCTGTATCATCACGGCCCTCTGTCTCAGACTTGCAATACCTTTGCAGAAAATGGCACACTCATAACCAACTGTGGTCTCTTCTGCCTCTTTTGACATTCCCAACCACGCACTTACGTAAACTTCGTCGTTAACCCCATTCATCTCAAATGGCCCTTCATCCATCAGCATGTGTATTTGTATGGATGTATGTCACACGTGTATGGCTGCAGGCGGGAATACCTCTCTTCCTTGCAAGAAAGGATCTACTTCTTGTTATAGTACTCTTCTACAGAAACTGTAATATTAACCCCACCAGCTTTTTAACCTCTTAAAAGCAAGTAAGTATACGCAAAGATATGTTTCCTCTTCCTAACTAAACTTTCCATAAACAATCCTAAAGTATATATTAGCATATTAGAAATATTGTCACACAGCTTAAAAGTATATAATATTATCAGGTCCTATCATGCTTATGGCTGTCCCATCTGAAAGCAAACTTCGAACATTTGAACTATCCGTGTTTGGTAGTTAACCTGTTGTTTATTCTCCATAAAATGCAATGTAGCAGTTACTGATGTAGCGCTTCGGGACACCTTAAGCATAACACTGTGCCAGAATATAAGTGTATTTAAAATTTTCTTTTTTTTTATTTTTAAAAAAAGCATTTAATTATAAATGGCTTTGTAAATGAGCAGACAATAACTGTTGTCATATGGTCATGCGCATAACTTCAAAAGGTCTTCCTTAGACCTAAGGGAATACTACTTATTCTTCCAACTGTTCTGACCAACATCTCGATGATGCAGAATTCAGATATCACCAGCTTGTTTAAAATCGTAACTCAGATTCTAATATAAGCAGTTCTCTTCACTTATATAGCAAAATAACCCCTACACGCACATCTAGCGCTTTCTATAAGTGAAGTTCACTATTCAAATTTGAATCCCCTTGGACCAATATCTGGGATAATTACCAAAGTTTGGCTTTGGACCGTCTCGGGATATAATCTATTGTTTCAATGTTAACAGTAATCTTCCTCTAGTCAAATAAAAATAGGCTAGGGGTGGAAAAAGGCAAACTGTTTGCTTTCATGTTCAAGCTTTTTTAGGCATTTTCAGACGCTACAGTCGTGCGGGCGGTGGAGGTCTATGAAACAAAAAACAGAAAAGCATGCTTTTGACTTATCATAGTAGCGAAGACATTATGAATATGGGTGTATTATATAATGCCGAGAAAATGATAGTCATACTAAAATAATCATAGTCTAATTGACTGTAAGTTACTAATGACAGTATGCTAGGTTTTCTTTATTGAGGTCTTCGACTTCATGCGAGTACAAATTATGTTTCCTATAAGATGCTTCCTGCCAGTTGAATAAATAGACAGATTTGTATAGCGTAACTGTGCTGTTTTTGTGCTGTACTTACTGGTGCTTCTGTCAGAGCTTTTATGTTGCGCTCCAGGCATGTTTGACAAAGTTCCCTATTTGAGGAGTTGAATGGTGGTTAAAAAAAGTAACCTCTTTCATATATAAAATTTGATCTATCATCCAAAATGTGTAGGTGAGGTACGCTTATATTCGATCAAGCATTTTTCACCCTACTTTTTCAAAACACACTTTTTTGATGTTTGTGTAGGAAGTCCTTAACTCAATTTCTGTTGTTCCCAGCTAATATTGCAAACCAGGTACGTTGCCTATGAGACTCGCAGCGCATTTTGCTTTCTTTTTTTATCTATGCGAAGACGTGCAGGCTTTTTTTTAGGAATTAGGCTGTATGTGAAATAAAATTTTTCGTGACTTTCTCCTTTTCTTTGTTCTGTATACAATGATATGTGCCTACTGCAGTGCTTGCTTACATTCATTAGTGTGCTGTTTTAAGTTAACAATCGAATTGCCTTAGATTCACGGTGACGAGATTGATGGGTGTTGACCTAATAACTAATTTACTTACTCAACAAAAAAGCACATCATAATGGCTCATTATCAAAAATGAGCAGTGTTCTGGAATATCCTGCTAGTTTGTTTAAGAAATAAGAAATAATAGACAACGGTATCTTATTCATTTACAGCCTTTAAGTGCAGCCTAGAGATACATTTTCCTGGCATTTAGGTGGATCTTTTTGAAAGCTTTCAAGACACCGCTAAGGAGCTCAAGAAATTGTATTACATTGAGTATTATATTGTACCTGTATTATATATATATATATATATATATATATATATAAGCCTGAATCTTCAAAGCCTTTATTTATAT